TTCATCAGGTTCGTCGAAATTATCCATCCTCGATCACTTTTAGTCAGCTTTGATGAAACTCCTCTCAGCTAGCACGTCTTTTCTTAAAGTGAAAGTAGCCTTGTCACCTGACGTGAATACAGCGCGCTGATTCGCTAAAATGGACTTATCGGCTTCTGCAGTAAAACGTGAACTCGCGATGCCTTGAAAGTGGACAAAACCGGCTTTTTTGACAAAACGTGTTTAGGGTTCAGATCGCGCTATATTTGGAGAATAATGCACGGAAATCAGGTCCTTTTTTTTTAAAGTGGCGTTTATCGGTTTTTGCAAATGAACTCATATTATTATTATGAACTTCATATTATTTCTGTAACAAGTAGAGCCTATTGAAGAGCGGTACAGAGAGCATGAGGGTCGACCCAGAGCGTTCGATGAGCTAGGCAAGAAAATTCAGCTTTTTATGAAGGCGGTGGACATGTATAAACAGAAGGTAAGCTGTAATGCTTAATGGCAATGTAGCTTTTTTGATATTGTATAGTTCTGTTAATAGAAAATGATTTGAAAAAGCTTTTGTTTTTGATTTGGGCGGCGTTATGCAAATCTTCCCACATCGTGACGTAGATATGTGGGGGCGTGTTAGAATGAGCCGTTTTAGGTAGGTGTGGCTGACCAAAGAGAAAGGAAAAATTTATTAAATTTTTTATTTATTTAATTAAATAAAAAGTGACTCATGACTGTTTCTTAACAAGCTAGGATGAGCAAAAACATTTTCTGTTATACTGGTTGAAAGTCTAATTAAGGTGGTCTAAATATATTTAGACCATCATTACAATTGTACAATTATAAATATATTTAAATACATGACATAAAAATTTCATAAATGCTTGTCAATACATTCGGTAGTGCACTTTACCCATATTTCTAAGACAATAGAATTATGAAATTACATATAAAGATGTACTTAGGTCCTACTTAAGTGGGTCAAAGAAAAATAGAAATTTAATCTATAATAAAATGTTTTATTTAATTTCAGTTAACATCCAATTAAATGTCTGAAAACATTACATTCAGTTTGCACTTATGTAAATTCCCCTAAAGTATATGAAGAGCAAAACCAATTTTTTTTTGCAAAAACCGATAACTTTGACCAAACTCCTCTCAGCTAGCACGTCTTTTCAA